TGTGTGTGTGTGTGTGTGCCGTGTGTGTATGTACAAAGATACAAAGTTTAGCATTTCAAAGTGCAACATACAGTGAAATATATATGTGTAAAAAGCTCTTGGCATTTACTCAGGTCCAAACATCTTTGAGTATGTCACTCCTATATATGTTCAGATACCAGGGATCACTAGACATTTGAGGAAATTCCTAATAAGGAGAAGAAAGAACAAATGACCAAACACAAACAAAAAGCATACAGAAAAAAGGAACTTAGAGGAAATAGAAACTCCACTATACAATTCTGTGAGAAGAAATAAATACGAAAATATATATTTAATAAATACCTTCAAGTAATATGAGAAGATGGCACCTATGGAAAATGAGAATAGTATGCTAGAAAATACAACAAAGCAAGAAACATTTGTTGAGCCTAAAAGAGCTCTTGTAAATTAAATATAGTATAACAAATTAAAACTTCAATAAAAGATCTAGAAGATAAACCTAATGACACTGAAAGAATGAAGATTAATAAAATAAATAATAAAACCAAATGATGGAAAATAAGAGTTAAAAGGTGAGAAAATTAGAGATACAGTAAATGGATTCTAGAAAACAGTTAGGGAGAATATTTTCAAAGCTATAATATGAACACATTTTCCATGCCAAAATTGTCAAATTGGGAGGCGTAAAGCCTAGACAAGATCTGTTCTGGTGAGAGAGTAGATAAGTACTGAAACAAGGAGAATGAAACTGAAAGAAAAGGAATTGTAGGAGGAAAAAGAAGAAAGTGTGGAGAATCAGAATGTCTTCAGAGTTCCCATCAGAAGTCAGAACACAATGGGACAATCCTTTTCTTTTATTCATCACGTGTTAATTTTTATGAGTGGTGAGAGGTGCGGATTCTGTTTCAGTCTTTTACATGTGGCTATCCAGTTTTCCCGGCACCACTTATTGAACAAGGATTCTTTTCACCTGCATATATTTTTATCTGCTTTGTCAAAAATCAGATGGGAATATGAGAATGGTTT